CAAATTATAATAATTCTTGTTATTATAGTTATAGTACTACCTGGTATAATAATGATAATAATCTAAATCATTGATACACTTTAATAAACGAAGCATAGAGAAATAAAGGTTTAATTAATAAAACGTAGGTAATGAAAAATTAAACCAAAAAGCTTAGTGATATGAAAGTTAATTTAGTGGTTTTCGTCAAATATAACAAGACATTCATTCTCAAACTTATGTACTTATAAATACAAATAAGACTCACGATGTACTTACAAGATAACACGTAAACTAACATACTCATTAAAACAAATAATGCAGTGAAGTTTTCGTCAAAATATGAAGCACAATGAGAGCTTAAGTGAACAGATACCATTCTATTATTCACTGTATACTATTATAGGCTTAACTTAAATGATCAAATATTAATGACTCACCTGGTTGAGTATTTTTAGTCAAGTGATTCATTGGACTTCAACAACCTAACATACCATAATCCTTGAATTTTACCGCAGTTTGAAGTTACTATAACGATATCTACAAAAACTGTAGTTCACTTACATTGAAAAGTTGCTAGTTTATAAGTTGAAATTGTTGGGAAATGTAATAGAGCGGCTTCTTATATAAATATACACGAAATGTTAATTTTTGTAAGCACACCGACTTCTGAGGCGGCGTAGTGTTGTGTATGTTGGTTCCAATACTTTTAAATTATCTAGGCTAGTAATTTTTTAATAACTGTCTTCATTCTATTTACTGAACATATAATTTGATATAAATATACACATTAAATTCTACTTAAATCATGGTAGTCAGAGTAAAACTAATTGACAAATAAAAAAAAAGATGTGGATTTTTAGAAGAACATATAACTACCCGGTATGTTTTTACCATCAACAAGAGACATGCTAATACTGCACAAAATTATGTATTTTTTAATAATTTTAAAAGGGCAACAAAAGAAACTGTTTATATACATGAAAATATTTCCTTGTAAATTTTATTTGAACTAAATTTAGACGAATAATTATTATTTTTTACATATTATAGTATAGGTTTTAACGTTATTAAATGCTTTAAATCCCGCCTGTCGACGTTTAAAAAATATATTAATGAATGAATTTTACTTAATACATTAATATTTATTTTGACTACTGCTACGATCAAGAAAAAGTAACATAGTTGAAATTTGTTGTATTTCTTTACATATTAGATATAATATGAAAATAAAAGATAATTATTGTTTTATGTAATTTTAAAAGGTATTTTATATTAATGATCAAGTGATGGCAACGTTGTATTTAAATATTACATCATCACCGCCTGACTTATGACGGTGTGTAAATATTCACTCGTTTTTCTTGTCTTTTTCAACATTTTTCAAGTTTTAGACAACGTTTAGTGATATTAGCAAAGTGATATGGAGGAAATAGAACATTGTGATAATGCTGTTTAGAAAATTAATCATAAAAGTCGAAGCTGATGAGTGTGAGGTCAGCAGCTGGGGTCATGTTGAGGTTAGTGTTTTTTTTACTCTTATTTACCGTCTAATGATCTGCTACTTCATCGAGGTGACTGAATGTGTGTGTTTTTTATATTTATAGAGAACGAGGATATATTTTTGTTGTTGAAATAATGATATTGCTTTATCTACAAATAATGCAGTGAAGCCTATTACTGTACTCTGTTGAACTGCGCCATTAACTAACAAACCTTTAACAACCTTACGTAACCTATAAATATCCTAAAACCATAAAAAGCTCACTTATTGTTGTTTTCGATTCATAACTTTTTTACACCTAACCTAACCTAACCTAACCTAACCTAACCTAACCTAACCTAACCTAACCTAACCTAACCTAACCTAACTTACATTACTAAGTCAGAAACTATTGGGAAACTTTACATTTTGGAAACAGATTGTAGAGGAAGTTTATGAATACTAAACTTTTGGTTAAGTTAAATAATGTAGTCAGAACAGTTAAGTAATACAACACACCACTACAATATTACGACAATGGTTAATTTAGTTACGTTCAAAATACACTAGGCTAACTTAAATAACATAAATTGTTAATATTATCCATTAAGGCATCACCATTTCGTCACTGAATGTAAGTCTCTATATATAATATTTTTTTACGGGGAACAGCTGACTCATTTCAGTAGATATACAAAGGTGTTTTATGTATGAATATTTATACTTCAATTTGTTACGTCTTTCTTGTACAGTGAGGTTAGGTTAGAAATTAATAGGCTATAGTACCGTATGCTGCTTTTAAATGCAGAAAAAGAGAGAGAGAGAGAGAGAGAGAGAGAGAGAGAGAGAGAGAGAGAGAGAGAGAATTATTAATTACGAAAGCATAATTAAAAGAGAAAGAGCGATAAAGAGATGATAATGAAGTGAAAAAAAAATATTAAAAGAGAGAGAGAAAAAGAGAACTACAAAAATATTAAGAGCGAAACATTTTTATCAACGTGACAGGAAATAATCGACCTCACTGGTACACTACTTCCCTTCCTTCTATTGTTACCTGTGAGATTATGTCATGTGGTGTTGAGTTATCGATCTGGTAGACATTAAGGACGTACTGCATTTTGGGTGACATAATCATTGGCGTTTATACTACGCTACGTGGAATAATTATAATATGAATGATGCTTTGACTACTACTACTATTATTACTACTACTGTACTACTACTATGACTTCTACTATCTGTATAACGGCATAAGTAGTCAGTGAGTCTAAGTAGAGATATTATACTTTTTCTTGCAATTAGAAAACGCTGACGCATTTTTCAGCAGGCAATAGTATACGACGGTGTTCATTTTCGTTCGTCCTCCCACTGACGGTGCATTATAGTGAAGATATTTAGATCAGTAACGAACCTGATTCAAACCTGGAGTCAGAAAGCACGATCATAATTTGACACATTAGCTCATAGACCATCTGGAAGTGTGTGTGTTGATTGTTATGTAGTAGGAGATGGTTCATGATTTATGACCAAACTGCACCGTCACTCATAAAGCGTTGCAAGAGGTTTAAGACTTAACTCATTTTATTTATTTGCTTTACTTTACCATAACATTTTTTTTTTCTACGGAACGACACTTTAACCAGTCGAGGATTGTAGCTTAAACCATCGTCCCCAAAGGGTTAAGTTTGTTAGCGGGATTACCCAAAATATCCCGCTTTGAGCAGTGACATTTGGTAGGCTTCTTTAGGATATTAAGTCATTCGATTACTTGATACGAGTTTCAGTTTGTTTGATTTACCTTTTCATCTGTAAGGAGAACGTGATATATTTTAGCACCATTGAGACGTGATTTATTTTAGTGTTAGTGTTTCATCTTAACACCATTAGTTCATACGTGTTTTCTTTAGGTGGAGGGGAACCTATGTGTTTTATTATTGTCCTTCTGTTAATATTACCACAAGACTATTCGTTCCTGCAGGAGACTATTTTGATTTTTGATTTTTTTTTTTACAACTTAGGTTCCTAAATTATGTGAACGATATATATATAATTTTTATTTTATTTTTTATTTTGTTCTTTATTCTGTCATTAGCTTCATAACTGTAATCGCTTATGATCTTTTATCTGGGTTAAAAAAAAAATTCCTCCCCCTTTTCCAGTGATTTTAATATTTTGTTGTAGTCTTATTTTACGCCGCTGAATAATTTCATTTTACACTATTATTTAATTTTATATTTCTCTAACTTTATTTTTATATCCCGTTGAAAAAAAACTCTTCTTAATTGTTTTTTTTATTATAGTTTTGTTTTGCACGAAGTAATATATTGAGTATTATTTCATATAGTATCAGAGGTAACATTTTCTTACCGAGGAGAGAAAATAGCTTAGGTTCCCCTATCAGTGTCCTACGTTTTTTATTTTTTTACATTTTCTTTTTTTTTTATGGGTAACTATGACATTGGAGTTGGTCGGGCTTCATATTCCCCCAGTGGACGGCTGATAACTAATACCTCGTTCGTCCCATTTTGAAAAGTTAACAGAAGTTGGTCGTAAAAATTATTATATATATATATAATGGGAAGGGGGTCACGAGAGAGAGAGAGAGAGAGAGAGAGAGAGAGAGAGAGAGAGAGAGAGAGAGAGAGAGAGAGAGAGAGAGAGAGAGAGAGAGAGAGAGAGAGGGGACTTGTCAGTGTCAAGTAAAAGCTGTGGGAGAGAATGGAGTATATTCCTTCACTATTGACCCTTGGCTAATTTTAGGTTAGGTTAGGTTAGGTTAGGTTAGGTTAGGATGGGTCTTCTGCCATATTTGATTAACACACCCAACTCTTTAGTTAGCAGACATACCAAGGAACACCAAGAATTAATCATAGCTGCGTTAGTCTGGTGCTCATCATACTACCAACAACGTCTATAATAAAAACGTATCTCAAAAACCTTCCTCACTCGGGAATATAAAAACTTTGTTAGTCAGTAAGTCAGTAAAGGCGGGGGGGGGGGAATTGGATTGACTGACGTAGCGAAAAAGATAATTGAGTGACAAGAAAGTTACGGCACCGGCAAAGGAGATAAGTTAATACTGTGAAGATTTTCTCCTGTGTGTGTGTGTGTGTGTGTGTGTGTGTGTGTGTGTGTGTGTGTGTGTGTGTGTGTGTGTGTTGTTACTCTTAGAAAATAAAATTAAAGCTCAAACTCATTTTTTAGTGTTCTTGGGTTTTTTTTCTTTGCCGTAATTGTTATATAAAATTCGTTTAATGAAGAAACTAATTACCTTAAAATAAAGTCAAAAGGTTCATCTCAGGTCATGACGGGGTCAGAGGTACTCATTAACAGTAAACATCGAGGCTTACAGGTAAAAGGTAATGAATGGACAGGTAATTTACTACACATTACGGTAAGAGAGTGATGACAGCTTATGTTTAGGTGGTGGTAAGTGAAGGTGTTTATTTTTATATGGTGTTGGCTGGTGACGCGTGGCAGTGTGTGTGGTGTAGCTGGGAGCACCACTGCCTGGCTCAGTCCTCCTCTGATCCCCGCCTCGCCAGTGTCCCCTCCCAGCACGGCGCCGCCACTCCGTGTTTCACCACACATACACACACCTCGCGCCGTTTAGCTAAGTTTCAGCAGTAGTTTTACGCCGAGTTTTAGTGTCTACGGTCCTCCACCTACGCTGTTTTTTTTGTTTTTTTTACTGTCGACTTTGGTGTTGTTATAAGTGTTGAACTTGTTACGGTCTCTGTATAACGTTAAATAAACCAAAACATTAACGAATCTAGTTGAGTCAATATTCTTGGCAAAAGTTTACTGAAAAATCTCGGGTGAAAATTCCTCGGTTATAAAGAGTTAATGGGAAGGTGGTTATGTAGTTCACCTGCAGATTAAGGTAATTGCTTCCCATACAAAAAAACTTACTCTGTGAAAAACCTCAAAGTTTCAACAATTGGTTAACTGTTACGACTCTCTGAACTTACCAAATAAACTTTATCCAGTCTTGTATAACGTAAGTGATAACACGAACAACATACAGGTGTTATATATATATACTACCTGTGACTTAAAGGTGTGTTGAGACTAATTAGCGTGTGTATGTGTGTTTGTATGCGCGCGTGTGTGTGTATGTATGTCGTGGTGTAATGAACTCACCGTGTGAATATGACCACACGGGATGACGACGTGGTTGTGGATGGACTTACTGGGATCTCGAGTCTACCAGAAATACACTTAGCCCTCATGGATCTCACCTGAAGGGAAGAGTCTTAACTATTCTCGGTCATCCTCATGGACTCCTGCCTTCATACTGATCCATCACAATATGAAGACTTTTTTGGCCCTGAAGAAAAATTCCTCAGTCATTCAAAGCCAATTTCGGTGGGTTTTTCCCTGAGAGACTTGACCTGAGAGGAAAAAACTCGTCCGTCACACACTACTTTTTGCCCTGATGGTCCTAACCTAAACTTGAGGGGAAAAATCTCGTCAGCAACCCTCTACTTTTTGCCCTGATGGTCCTAACCTGACTTGAAGGGAATAATCTCGTCAGCAACCCTGTACTTTTTGCCCTGATGGCCCTAACCTAACCCGAGAGAACGCATTTCATCCATCAATCTCGTAGTAAATATTGATGCATTTACCTTGAAGAATAACCACAGGTGTTCCTATTATAATCGATATTAACGAAAAGATATAGTGAGTCTCTGTCCCTTGTATTGTGAGAAGCTATACTGCCTGGATGATGCCCATTTCATACCCACACCGCCCATCAACACGCCCACACCCACGCTCTTAAGGAAAAGGAGTATTGGTAAGTGTTGAAAAATATGTTTGGTTTTTTTGTTTACTAACCATTGCACACTAATGATTTGTGTGTGTGTGTGTGTGTGTGTGTGTGTGTGTGTGTGTGTGTGTGTGTGTGTGGACAAAATGTATTACGGTGTTCATGTATTACGCCAGACTGAAGAAATGTATACTATATAAATACATTCTCATATCTTTCGTTAATCATGCCGGGAGAATTGGGGTAAAAATACGGCTCGTGAAATACAGGAAAGAACGATGAAATTTTTGCATAAGTGTAGGATTCTGTGCCGAGCTTGGAACAAATCAACCGAATTTGGAATAAGTCAACCGAATTTGGAATAAGTCAACCAAATTTCGATTAAGTCAACCGAATTTGGAATAAGTCAACCGAATTTGGAATAAGTCAACCGAATTTGGAATAAGTCAACCAAATTTCGATTAAGTCAACCGAATTTGGAATAAGTCAACCGAGCTTTTGTTGAATAAGAGTGCGAGAGAATGGAACAAAGAGGAGAAAGAAAACTAATGTAACAAAGAGAAAAGTATAGAACAGAGGAGGAAGAGAGAGCGAAAGAGAGAGAGAGAGAGAGAGAGAGAGAGAGAGAGAGCGATAGCGTTGAAGTGAGTAAGAAAAAGGAGGAGTTAAAGAGAGATCAATAGAGCGAGAAAGAGAAAATTGGAAAATAAGTGAGAGAGAGAGAGACAGCAGTATTAAGGGAGAGAGGAAAAGATAGAGATAGAGAGAGATAAAAAGATAACGAGATAGAGAAAGAACGAAAGGAAGGAAAAGATAGAAAGCAATTGAGAGAGAAAAAAAAAGATAACGAGAGAAAGAAACGAAAAGAGAGAGAGAGAGAGAGAGAGAGAGAGAGAGAGAGAGAGAGAGAGGCTTATAACCAGTCCCTCAGAGGCATGCCAGAAATTTTCAATCGCTCTCATGAAGCAATTTATCAGTGGGGCTCTGGGCTGACGAGAGGCCGGTGGTTCGGGTGATTACACGAGTTTATAGGAGGAGAAAAAGATACACTGAAGGAATAGAGAAGAAAGAAGGAAGATATAAAAAAAAATCGAGAATTCCATTGTGTGATTTTCTACTTGTGAGGATTTTTGTATCAGATTTAATGGATTTTGGGATTAAAGGCTAACAATTGTGAGTTGTTTAGGATTTTAGCTTTTGTTTTGGTGTATAGGGTAAGAAAGTGTGTGTGTGTGTGTGTGTGTGTGTGTGTGTGTGTGTGTGTGTGTAGTAATATTAGACTGGGCCAAGAGAGTTGTTATTTTATTTCAATATGTTTTTATTCGTAACAAAATTGGATTTCCTCCGACATTTGAGACCTTTTAAATGTTTGTGGATGTAAACATGGACTCTAATATACATACACGGAAAAATGTACACAGAAAACACACACACACACACACACACACGTTTGAGTCTTTCTTCCTTCTTCTCTAGTTATTGGTCTTGTGCTTTTTCTGTTTTTATTCTTCTCTCTCTTTATTCTCCTCTTCTCCTCTCTTTCTTCTTCTCTCTCTTCTTCTCCTCCCTCTCTCTCCTCTATTTTCTTCTCTCTTCTCCTCTCTTTTCTTTTCCTCTCTCTTCTTCTCTCTCTTCTTCTACCTCTTCTCCTCTCTCTTTCTCCTCTCTTTTATTCTCTTCTCTCTTCTTCTCTTCTTCTCTTCATCTTTTCATCATCTTATTGCTCTTTCTCTATCCCTTCTTCCCTCTTCTCTCACTAGTGTGACCTGTATTTAATCATATATTGCTAATATATGACCTGTACCCAATTATCTCTGCCAGTATGACCTGTATTGACCTCCATCTCTTGTTTCCCGTGACCTACCATGACCCGTTTTCTATAAAGCCTTGTCGAGGGAGTAACTCAATAAAACCGGGACTTCTTCTCAGTACAGAAAAAAACAACTTTTCGTGATCCGTCATGCGTGGAAATTTAGTTTTATATTCAAAGTTTATATATTTTTTTTCTTTTTGTTGTGTCTATGTTGTGGTTTATTTTTAAAGTTTATTATTTTTTTTTTGTATTTATTTATTTTTTTTTGGGGGGGGGGCAGGGGGGTTGCAGGTTAGATTTTGGGAATGGGAATAAGATAGTGATCGATTTTGGGAATGGGAATGATTTTGTGTGTTGATTTTGAGAATGGGAGTAACAAGATGGTGATACATTTTGGGGGAATTGGAATGCTAAGGTGCAGGTAGATTTGGGGAAATAATGAAGAACAGGTAGATTATAAGAAGACAGGTAGATACAGGTAAATTTTGAGAATATAGTACAGTATTTATATAGAATACAGTAGTGATGCTATAATTACAGTGGCTGTACCCGAGATATGACGACATAATGATGCTACGAATTACAGTGGGAAAAAAGCTCTCCATTATTGGTATTACATGACTTTTTGACAGATATGACTGACGTGATTTAATTATCTGACATGTCGAAAAAAGGAATTTGGCTGATATGATTAAATAATGTTTATTTTTGGACGTGACGTGAAGGCCTTTGGTGAGAAGGAATTAAATGAGTCTTTTAATTTAAACATCCTGGAAAAGATTTGATAGACATAACTTAATTGATTTTTTATTGTTATTTTGGTAATTATAATATGGAAGGGGGGGGGAGGGTAATTTGTAGTAGGGTGATTACATAGTGTTAGTTGATGGTTATTTATTGTAGGGAACACACACTGTGGTAGGGAGTTATACACACACACACACACACACACACACACACACACACACACTGTTATAATTATATGAACAACTGGTAGGGAATTTTACAGGTTAAATTATGTTAGGTTAGGTTAGATTAGGTAGTCCAAGAGAGTAACTGTAGGTAAGGCAAAGACCAAACGATCTTATTTAATTATTCAATCACCCTTTTACCGACTACAGCGTGGCTAAGTGTTTTGATGTACTGTATAAGGTCATTAGGTGAAGCCATGTAGTGTGTGTGTGTGTGTGTGTGTGTGTGTGTGTGTGTGTGTGTGTATGTGTTATTCAGGGGCTTCTCGCTTCACACCACCACCACCAACATATGTGGGTAAGCGATGGGACCTTTTTTATTCTTATCTGCTTACACACACACACACACACACACACACACACACACACACACACACACACACACTCTTCTCTCTCTGCCATTTATCAACCTAATTAGGGACCGGATATTATTTAACTTCTGTGAATTGTAAAGTTCATTTTGGAACTGCCGGGTGCAAGAAAACATGAATGTGTTTCGCCTCAAGAGATGAAAGTTGCGTTAACATATAGATAGATAGAATGGTATATTAGAATCAAGCATGTACTCTTATGAAGGATATTTTGCATCTTGCTTACACGTATTGCACTCTGAGACCCGTATATTGCACTCTGACGCCCGTTTATTGCACTCTGACGCCCACATGTTGCACTCTGACACCCGTATATTGCACTCTGACGCCCGTTTATTGCACTCTGACGCCCGTATATTGCACTCTGACACCCGTATGTTGCACTGACACTCACATATTGCACTCTGACTCTCACTGGAGGCTTCAACAATCGACATACCGCTCTCTCCCTCCTTCGCGTTTTAACTTTGGAATATTATTTTTGTCTCTCCTTCAATTTCCTTCGTTTTCTGTCTCTTATTCTCCCGTTTTACTGTTAGGTTTGGTTTGGTTAGGTTAGGTTAGGTGAAATCCCATGGTAAGGTTAGGTAAGGTTAGGTTAGGTTAGGTTAG